TAATTGTAATTATATATATTTTTTTTTTAGTTAAAATATTGTAGAAAATTATATGAACGTAGTATTTACAAAAATACGATATAAAATCAGTTAAATAAATTAAATCTATCAAAAGTAAATTTAACATTTTCGGTTAATCAGATATTTTATAAAAGTTATTGTCTTCTGCTTCCTTGAGGATTCCATGTTAATGCTTGTCTGCAGATTTCATTTGGGTCACCAAATCGTCACAATTATTTATGGTAAGCCAGGATTCGCAGTCGTAGAGCAGAACGCTTTTAACATTACTGTTAAAGAACCGCAATTGGTGTGCTGGGAAATTATTGAAGACCTCCGAAGTTTATTCAGTAACTAAAAGGCGAAGCGTGCCTTGTTAATTCGGCTTTGGATGTCGACTGCCATGCCAACATCCGACGATATTATACTGCTTAAGTATGAAAAGCTGTTGACGTTATCGATTACTATATCGTCCAGGTTGAATTTGCTGGTAGGATTAGAATTGTTTATCTTCATTGCCTTTGTCTTTACCGTGTTCACTATAAGACCAACTTTTCGTGATTCATGAACTAAGTCGTTGATTTTACCTTGCATTTCGTTCTGTCGTGTTGAGAGAGGGCAAATGTCGTCAACTTATTCTAGATCCTCGAGGTGATTTGAAAGCCCCCAGCGTATACCCCGTTGTGACAAAGGGGATTGACAGACTACTCTGCACCTGAAGTCGTTATATTATGGTTTGATGAGATCGATAACTTCCCCGGACAAGCATTAACATGGAATCCTCAAGGAAGCAGAAGACCTGGTAGGCCCAAGCAAACGTGGAAGCGAACACTAGAGAAAGAAATCCAAGCAAGCGGAAAAACCTTTGGAGAAATTAAAACCCTGGCAAAATATCGTGACAGTTGGTAAAAGATAATTATGATCCAATGTTACCCTGGGAATGTACTGGATTGATTGATTGTTATTGTCCTTCCGCAGTTAACCATGGGCCAAATGAAGAGGCAGCTTAAAAGGCTAAGTCTCAGCACAAGGCGGAGCTGCAGTTAAGGCTGCATGAGGTGAACGGTGCAAGAGATAATGAAGAATTTGCTAAAGAGGCATTTGTAGAGGGGGAAGCTGAACAGGTGAGCAATGGGAAAATGATGGGATTCATGAAAATGATGATGCAGAAATTGAACCAGAATTCCATTAAATTAAAGCAGCAGATGGTGCAGAAATTGGACCAAAATTCCAGTGAGCTTAACCAGCAGATGTTGCAAAAATTGGACCAGATTTCCAGTAAGCTTAAACAGCAGATGATGCAAGAATTGGAGCTGATTTCCAGTGAGCTTAAGCAATAAATAGGTCAGTATTCGCAACAAACGGAACAGGTATGTGATAAATTTAAGCAGTGTTGTAGTGAGATCAAATACCTTGTTCGAGATATGGCTGAAGGAAATGAAGAATTGCAGCAACTTATCGGTAAGGTGATAGAGGTGATAGAGTGACCAAGCGTTTGAAGGAGAGTTGACGGATGAAGGACAAAAGTTAGATAGTTGGTTGCAGATAAAGAGACGAACGAATTGAGGATTGTGGAGGCCGTGAGGAAAGCCAATAGCATCGTAATTGGGAGAACATTGGTGGGTTCGAATAAAGATGGCAGTGTGACAATTCGACTTATGAAACTATCTGATACACCAAAATTTACAAATAAATGTGCAATAATTGGTCAATTTGGGAAAGTGACAGGGACGATTTATTGCGGCGCTATTTTATTTATAAATAAACTTTGACATAATACAAATTTTTTTAGAAACTGAGGTCTTTATTTCATAATTTAAATGTATTTGTCCGGTGAGATATCCTGTCAATTATTGCCAAATGATAAACAGCAACTAAATTTATTTTACAAACAGCAATAATATTTGCCTAAATTGATTTTCTATTACTACTTTTCCTTTCTTTCGAACATCAATATCAATGTGTTGATACTATTTTCAATTATTATTAAAAATTTCTTTCATTTTGTTCTTAAGGCATAAACGAGTACATAAGAAACTTTAGTCTTGTATAAATTAATCATTTACAAAATTTGCAGGGTGAATTAATCATTTGCAATTTTTTTTGTAAAGTTTTGCAGTTTACTTTTGCAAAGTGCAAATTGAAAAGTGTTAGTGCAATAAAAAATGCAAAAAAAGGGTTTTCTGTTAAACATTTCACTTTACTTTTCATTGAAATTTCATTGAGGATTGAGTTATGCAAAGTTTTAAAAACGCTTAGAAAATGCAAAACATTGCAGCTATGCACGTAAAAGGAAAGAAATTTTTAATAATAAATAAAAATAGTTTTAATATATTGATATTTATGTTTAAGAGAAAGGTAAAATTGGAATAGAAAATTTATTTAGAGCAAATATTTATTTTTAATTACATAATATTATAATTATTATTTTAATTATACATTGCGTACTATAAAATAAAATAAGTAAACCGTATATGACGGATCTTACTTAGTTTGGTGGGTTGAATTTCATTGAGGAGGTGAGTGTGAGGTGGATTATTGAGAAAGCAGTTAAACTTTATGAGATTACCAAAAATATTTGATTCTATTGAATTTTAATTAATGGATGAACGGTTAGCTCTTTTTAAGCGGAAAGTAGTGGATTGAAAAGTGAGATGCCTAGCTAAGGGGTTAACATGTTCTGTCAACCTTTTATTGTATTTTTTTCTCATATTGTCGAATTTAGTTTTAACTAAAGGAATTTGTAGATCTCGATTAATACTTTCATTCCTAATATACCATGGGGCTTGTTCTGATATAATAAAATTGAAAAAAAAAACTCGACATGAATTATTATATAAAAAAAAATATATATCTACAGTTACATATTTTTATTTCAAAGAGCGCCGTTGTTTCGATGGATGACCGCCGTGATTTCTGCGAATGAATATCGAGGACTCTGCAGACGGGCGTCATGAAATGGCGATATATATTTCTTATTTATTACATATATTTCTTATGGATATATATGGTTCATAGCCATATATAATTTTATATCCTTTGCTGTAAAACCAACGCAGGATTTAAATTGTTATACGTATATTTCTTATGGATATATATGGCTCATATTTTGGAGTAATACCACCTTGACGAATACTCGTAAACTTGCAACCTCTTAGCAAATGCACCGTCTTAAATACTTCTACGCGGAGCTTTCCAATAGCGTATTGGGTTTTTGCCGTGTAGCCGCTGCGCTTTTGATTTTGCCGTGTTGTGTTTTGTTTTGACAGTTTTTTTTTCCATTAATAAATTTTAAAATTGTGTAAGTGATAAATATATTTATAAACAAAATATGAATGTGAAAAATATAAGTGTATAAAACTTAAGTATAATTAATTAAAAGAATTTCAGTGATTTTGTATTAAGCCTGTACTGATGTTAATTTGTTTTGGTGGTAGTTTTGTTTATGTTGTAATATTTGCAAAAGAAATAAATTAAATATTACTTTCTATATTACAAATAGAAAACCAGTAGATAACTATGACGAAGTGTTGCTTGTGATGGGTTTTTGTTTGTAACGTAATCAGTGAGCGTTTAGTTGTTGCATATTTGTTTATTAAAACTATATTTGTTAAATAAATGTGTTTATTCATCGTGTTGTAATTCAAATTTTATAATAAGTAAATAAAATTTACTTTTTTTTCTTATAACATTTTCACGGTGTGTTTATGCTCTTTTTTCTCTTCAGGGTTTCTTTTCAGTCTAGATATCAATGCCCGTGGCTCATCAGGCTGGAGGA